GATCATCCATCCATCCATCCATCCATCCATCCATCCATCCATCCATCTGTTCATCCATCCATCCATCCATCCATCCATCCATCCATCCATCCATCCATCCATCTGTTCATCCACCCATCCATCCATCTGTTCATCCATCCATCTGTTCATCCATCCATCCGTCCATCAGGCAGCTCTAGTTTTTGTAAATTGATCTGTCAGTCAGACTTGGACAGTCTGTAGACCTAACAGAGACGTAAACGCCCTGAAAATAAACCTTTAGTCTTCATCAGTCGCTCTCATTTCCTGTGACGAATCACTTCTGTTTGTTTCAGACTTACAACACAAACGAGGACCTGAAGAGTTTCTATAAAGTCCTGTCAACAAACACAGATGGAAACACCGAGTTTGTGTCGACAGTGGAAGGTGACTGAAACGGCCTCAGTGACGCGGTGCAACAGGACCGTTGTCATGACGACTGCTGTTTTCTTACCCTCTGTGCAGCTTACAGTTACCCTGTTTATGGAACGCAGTGGCATCCAGAGAAAAACGCCTTCGAGTGGTCCAGACCTTACATTCCTCACTCTCCATCGGCGGTCAGGACGACCTTCTACACGGCCCACTTCTTTGTGAGCGAAGGTATGAAAGCACGACAGGTTTGGTTTGCTGAGTATTTGCTTGTGACTTAAACTCTGATCTGTTAATCTCTCTCTGTAGCGAGGAAGAACTTTCACAGGTTTCAGTCTAAGGAGGAAGAGAGCAAAGCACTGATATACAACTATAATCCTGTTTACACTGGAAACGCGAGTGCCTTCGAGCAAATTTATTTATTCTGAGATTCCTCTTCACAAAGCCGTTCTGCCTTAATATGGACTTGATATTTTTACTTTTCCAATTATCTGAAAATGTTTTGCACTGGAAATTGAATGGAGCTTCTGTGTTATCAATCAGCTTCTTTTTTAAATGAGTTTTTCTGTTTGTATTAAACATTTTTTGCCAATTTCTTGATGGTTTGAAACACTTTGAATTTCTCTGGCAGCTTTGACTAACTGGATCTGAGTACTGAATCAGAAACTGCTTATTTATACAAAGAATGTAAAAAAAATTGAATGTAATAAAGAAGATGCTGTTTATTTTTTCTCAATTTGCAGCAGTTGACCTCTAATTAGATACTTTTGTCATTTTTCTTTTGCTAATGCCAAAGTATTTGTGGTTTTCTAAAGGATTGACCTCGTGGTTTTACTGACACACAGCCGTATGTTGACCTTTCTGTATCATATGCAAATAATTGCATTGAAATTAACTTAATCCTCAAAATTTAGTAAGACCAGCACTATTTCAGCATATTTCTACTCAAGCAAAAAGTAGTTTTGTATGTGTTGTTGTGGAAACTGCTGTGAAGAGGAAAGATAAAAAAAACATTAATGACTGATAAAATATCTACTTTTTTATTCTAACACTTACTTTCATGCCACAATCTGCCAATGACATCCCTGTATGCTTTGGATAACAAAGTTGAACATCTTGGAAAAAGTCCATGTGTAGAAAGAAAGTTTGTTTCCATTGGCCATTTATAAAGTCGCTTCCAGCTCAATTCAAAGACGGAACAAAAATGAACAACCGAATGTAACGTCCAAAGTATGTTATGCACTAATAACACTCAGGTAACATTGTTTTTCTTCCTCTTTTTCTTCTCAGAATAAAATGATATTAGAACATTTACACATCAAGCTAACGAGACCGTGATCTCAATCACAATACTACTGCAAATATAGCTTATGCAGTTCTGTAAAAAAAACATTCAGGATGTCAAAATTTACGATGGCGAACTGAGAAATGACGGATAACGTAGCAAAGCACGTCGGAACATGCACTGGAGTGCAACATAAGACGATATAAATAAACTTGTGCCTGGATATATTCATTTCTGTGATTACTTTGCCTATTCTGCAGACGTAACGTGAAATTTATGTGTAATCTGGTGTTTAATGTTCAATGAAAATAATCCTAAACTTCGTTCAATTCACTCAGTTTTCAAAATTATTAAATAATATTTCTCATCTTAAAAGCCATTTGGCATTCCCAAAAATAGTTTTTTTTCTGTTATATGCAAATAATTGCATTGAAATTAACTTAATTGGGATATTTTAGAGAAATCATAATTAGCATAAAGATGTCAGCCAAGTTGAATGGCTAATGTGAAAAAAAAAATTACCCGCACTGCTAGAAAGTTATAAATACTATTAAAATAAATAATGTTACATTTAGCATTAGAAATGCTATTAAAGGACATTTAGTTTTTGTGCAAAGTAAAACAAGCACCACGCAAAAAAATCTGAACGCTATAAGATCCAGAAGCTTCGCTTTGCTCTGCTTTCAGTTTTAAAACTAGTGGGCAAAAATGTCAGTTTTTAAAAAGTAGTTGTAGCTAAAAACAACCCAGATACGATCAGGAGTATTTATCCTTCGCGTGGTTTCATGTAAGAAGGGGGTAAAGTAAATATTTTCATAAAGAAATAAGCTACTTTTTCTAAAAACACCAGATAACTAAGTGAACTCTAGATGAAAAAAGATCTTTTTATAATAATTTATATGTTTATACCCTTGCCGGGAGGTTTCTGTTTGTCTCATGCATGCTTTCCAGGCTTAAAAACGATTAAATCACTTACTGAAGTAAGATACTGTGGCAACGTGTTGAAGGTCTGAACCACTATCTTGGCTTTTTTGTATTAGATAAATTTATCTTCATGTTTTCTGATAAAGTAAGGCACCGTGAATAAATCAAGGAAATGCTTTTGTTGGAGGAAACCAAAACGGAACAATGTCAAATGTACAACCTAAACAAAATGGCTTATTTCTTTCCCCGTAAAACTCGTCCCAGCACGACTGAAACAGAAACGGACCTAAAACGTTGTGGAGGCAAATAAAAGATGAGCATTTGTGTGCTATTTTATAGACCGTTAACAACAGAGACAACCACAGTCCATGAAAAGTCCATCACAACTTTAAAAATAGTAACGTTCCCTGTATCCACGCAGTTCCAGACGCCCCTTACGAACTCTGCCGATCGGCGCCAGGGTTCTGAATTTCATTTATGTACAAGCCCATGTAGGTCGTGTGCTATAACGTTTCTTCTCCTCGCAGCCTGAAAGTCAGTGTGCAGGCTGAAGCTTTCTCTCCGTTGCTTTTAAAGACGTCCATCCTGCTGTAAAGGAGACCGTTTCTGGACTTCCTGTAGGTCATCAGGCCTTTGGAAATCCACCGGATGAACAGGGGAGGACGGATCCGTCGTCTGCTGGACGGCGTGGTAGACACAACGAGTTCAACCGAAACACACGGAGGATGAGGGTTGCATAATGGACAACTTGGTCGCTCTCGGGCACGGATACAACACGGAGGGAATGTCGGACCAAATGGAGTGAATGAGAAAAGAGGAACGGCAGCCTGTCGAAGAAAATCTAACCCTCGTCTTCAACCTCCTCTTCCAAATCCTCCTCAAACAGGCTTTCTGGTAGCCTGAAGCACTCCTCGAAGAAATTCACCAGGGACTGACTCAGGTGCTGCCGTGTTGCGTCGCTGTGGATGAAGTGGCCCTCGTCTGGGTAGATCTGACAGGAGCAGAGCGAAAACAGGTTGGCTTGAAACGTCAACGTCAGCTGAATGTTTATTTCAAACAGGTTTAAAAAAAACAAGAGGACAAGCTGAAAAACCAGAACAAAATAATTAGTTTACTACTTTTCTGCTTGAAAAAGAGCACAGCTTACTTTTTATAAGTAAAATGAACATTATTCTTTTATTCTATGAACTACTGACAACATGTCTGACATTTCAAGCAAAAATTTAGTATTTATTTGCAAAAAAGTAGAGACGGTCAAAATAAAACATGCAGCGCTTTCAGACCTCAAATAATACAAAGAAAACAAGTTTATATTCATTTAGAAACAACAAAACTAATGATTTAAGAGTTCAGAAATCAACATTTGGTGGAAAAACCAGGAGGAAAGTAAATATGTTGAGCCTCAAAAAACAAAAGTTTGGGCACAAGTTGATCAAAAGAACCAATAATTGGTCCTTGTGGAACTTCTTCAGATATTTGTCTGATTTTAATTTGCCAATTAGACACTAAAAAAATTTATATAAACAACATGCTGCTTTTAAGCTTACAATATGTTCAAGGGGAGCAAGAACAGAAAGTTTATGGTTCAGGCTATTTTTAAAATGAATTATAACTTCTGCATTTGAATTTTTTCCATAATGAGTTTTCTCACCCAAAGGGAAATAACTCTGGTTGTCATCCCTCTTTTTTCAGAGTTGAAAAGTGAAATCAAGAGTCAACTAGTATTTTTGTTAGAGTTTTTATTGGAACTGGAAAAAAATCTGGTGTAAAAGCCCAGATGTCTGTAAGCCCTGATAATTATTCCTCTACAGCTCTGAATAAAAGACATGGGGTCCATTTGCAGGGATCAGAAACCTCCCAAAGGCTGACAGATTTAACCAAATTAGAAATGAAACGACATACCTGCAAGGTGTAGTTGGCCTTTTCACTAATGAGCTGGGAAATGAATTTCGCTGTGTGTTGGAAGTGAACTTTTTCTGAGGACACAGAGGCAAAAATGTCATTGATGTTTCTTTATAACATATTAGAAAGGAGAACTTTGACCTGCAGTTGTACCATCAGCTGTCGGGTGAACGATGAGGAACTTCTTATCCATGAACCGAGACGCTCGGTGGGCTAGATTTGCCATCTAAGACCAGAAACATGATGGAGTTGATGCTTTTAGTGAGAACCACAGGAAAACAGGAGAAGCCTTGAAATGAAGTCCTACCGTGTACGCTCTGGGGTCCGGTTTAGGCAGACCCAGATATCTTTCAGAAAAAGCAGAGGCTGGAAAAAAGCATGAGAAATGTAAAATAAAACCAAACACTTTTGGGCTTCTAAGGTGAGTTTGAAGCATGCAAAGAAAAGTGGTCTAGATTTGCAATGACTGCTTAATGGGGGCAACAAAAAACTTTATCATGGACTATAAACACAAAGTCTGACCAAGTATTTTGGTCTAGTTTCTACTGCAAAAATCTTAGCACACATAAAATACGACAAAACCAGCTTACAGGTAACTTTTCAGTTAGATATAAGAGTCAATAATTCTTGAATACTGTTAAAAAAGTGCTGGTTCTATTTGGAAATAAAACTGCCAGCCCGTTTTTTTGTTTTTTAAATTAACTCCAGTCATCCATTGAACAGTTCAAATACAGAAAAGCATAAAATTGATGATGTGCGTTTGTGTAAACCTCCTTTTCCTTTGTTGCACCAATTCAAAGTGAGAAAAATGGCCCAGCTTCTCCCTAATTTTCAGTTTCTCGACTGTATTTCTATATTTCTGCAGCTGAAACAACCATCGCTCTCCTGATACACATCTCATTCTGCCCCTCACACCTTATATTCCTCAGATGGATGAGGTGAGGCGGTGTATGATTGGGTTCTGAGTGCAGCTGCTCCAACACACCCGCTCCAGATTCCCAGGAAGGGGGTAAAGGTGCTAGAGATGCTATCTGTCTTTATTTCACCTTCCAGAACATTCTGACGGCTCCGGCTCGGCTCCGGTGGCCCCGCCGAGCTACTTCGACACGTGCAGCCGAGACGGAAACATTTTGCATTTCAGAGCGCAGATAAAAACGAAAAGAACGGAGGGCTTACCGTATAATTCAAAGTCGGTGATGGGTGAGAGGACAGCGCCGCATTTTATTGGAGACTCCTCGCCGCTGAGCAACAGGCTGGTCACGTAGCCGCCGTACACCTGAGGAACGACAACTGTTATCACACACAATGCGGCAAGAGCAGCAAATACAAGAGCCGAGGCGACGCTGAAGTGAATTCTGGGTTTTAGGCGCCGCAGTCTGTTTGGTTCTGAGCACCAATGTGTGCTTAAGCAGCAAAGTCTACCACGGCGCAGGATTAGTTGGCTGGTGAAAGCATCACCCCGAAGGGTTTTTCCAATCAACTTCAACAACACTTCTCTGAACAATCAAATTATTTCTTCTTTTCTCTCAAGTTGGAACTTTTACGAATGGAATTACATCAACCAAGGGGTGTCAAACACAAGGCCCGGGGGCCAAATCCGGCCCGCCGAGGCTTCTTATGTGGCCCTCTAGATTTACACATAAATACAAACCTTCAAGATAACGGTTGTGTGCTTATAAAGTCAAATAAAATAAAAGGGGTTCATTTGTTTACTACTACATCTAATTAAGCAACACTTCCAGTTTTACTACAATTATGGAAATTCACACAAACATCAACAAATCGCAGCATTTTATTAACCAATGCGTAATTATGTTTACTGAAAATTTTCCAGAAAAATTATCAAAAACATTGGCAACTCCCACCTACAGGTGGCAGTATGTTTTACTTCTCCACTTGTAGTCTGTGATCAATTACTTGCGAGTAATAAAATGTGACATTTACCAACATACAACAACGCAAATACTGCAAAATTCCTTACAAATACTTTTAAATTAGCAACTTATAGCAAAAAATTACAAAATAGGTCAATCAAGATAGCAGTTGAGTGCTTAAGCATTACTATATTAATCAAATTAAAGTGGTTTATCATTTACTGCCAAATTACATCAGTCAATTCTTCCAGTTTTATTATGATTGTGGAAATTCACACAAAAATCAACAAACTGAGCCTTTTTTTTTTTTAAATGTGTCAATGAATAGTCTTAAACTTAATTCCCAAAGTAAACACTTGAAATCCACATCTGATGGTAAAATATGTAAGGCAGCAAACAGACAAAAAGCTTAGTTCAAAGGCAACAGGCTGCTTTTTGAACAATTACCAGATATCAGTTTGAAATTGTTTTTCTTATTCAACAATGTCAAACAAAAAACCTTAAAATCTGAACCAGATTAAGTTTTAATCTAGTTTTTGCACTTGGATGGATAAAGGCACTGTTGTTTTATTTTGGTCCAGTTCTGCAAAAATCACAGCTCAATTTACAAAACCAGAAATCCAACAAAAGTTCAAGATGCGTTCAGGAGCAGAACGGAGCGAGGCTCGTCTCACCTGTCCGAAGGCGCCGACTCTGGACTGGTCCACATAAGGCTCTTTCAGAATGAAACTGAGGGAAAAAGTCACTATTAATATGGTGTGCAATAAAAGTCTGTAAATAAAACCTTAAATTGACGTATAAATTTGCGTTTATACTTTAAATTTTGCTGGATTGATGCATCAAAGATAAACAGGAAAAAAACTCCACCATGAAACAACATATTTTACCGTTTCCTAACAAGGTATGCAAAGCAACATCTCAGTTCAGTCCAATTAAACTAGAAAATAATTTTTTTTTCTTTGCTCAGATAAAATGCAGCAGGTTCTGAATCCGGCCCAGTAACTGTGAGAAGGGACTCGTACTCGAGAGCGTCCTTCTGATCCTGCTCCTCGAAGACGCCCAGCTTCTTATGGATCCGGTGCAGGACGTTGGTGCCCTGGAAGCCGCTGCCCCGCCCGTCGCAGCGCACCACGATGGCGCCGAAGCTGCTCACCAGAACCGTGGCCCAGTCCAACACAAACCGCTCCGACACCGTCTGGCCACCAGGCGTCCCATCACTGCACCAAAGAGTGAATATCATCAGCTGATGATAACAGGAGTATTTTATTTTATTTTATTTTTTCACAGATACATACACAAGCAGGAGGAGCGGATAGTGTGACGTATCCATGAAGCCGGCAGGTTTCAGGATCTTTAGAGACAAAACTGAAATCCAGAGGAACACAACTGTTTATAAAGCTTAAAGTAAGTTACAAATATACAGCACCAACATTTATTGGCACCTATGTAAATAATGTTTACATCCCTCCTTCCAGCCCCCCTTTCAAACCACCTTCCAACTCTACTTCCATCCATAATTTTTCCAGTTTATTTTACATTTCACTCTTTAGTCAAGGTGCCTATACTGATGCAGTGGAACGTATCTGTGACTCTGACATACTGTAGTCGTCCATGTTGATCTCCCTGTACTCCACTGTGGGCATCTGCATGGTGTCCAGAGTCAGCCGGAGGTTCTCATTGCTCTCCAGTTTAGAAACCTCTGAAATACCTGCACACAGTGAACAATCAGAGGGATGAAACACAATCCAATGCAGTACACAGACGAAACAACCTTTCTGGTTACGGCATCTGTCCAAGATCTCCCAACAAAAGTCAAGAAGGAAAAGAAGAAGTAAAACACCTGTCACCTGCTGAAAACGTGACCTTGATTTGCTTTTACAGCTAGCTTCATTTCTTTGAAACACACAGGGAATCAGCTGCTTTTATTCATGGAGCACAACTGCCACGGCAGGCGAGGTCAAACGGGCGAACATCACATGTTGGAATTGGTTCGTCCTCGAATGTCCAGAAACAAGCGACTTCCAGGAGGGAAATCAACTCAGCGGCTGCCACAGCTGCTCCTGCTTACGGAATCAGATAAACGGTCCTGAGCTGCTGGAAGGACAGGCCCAGTAAAGCGGGGGAGGGACCACACCTACATGTAGATGAATTCATTTGACCTCGTTTCTGTAGGTCATGAAGGCTTTTCTTGACCATCTCCTCCTCAAGATAAAGTATTTTATGTCTGAGCTCTAGAATCAGGTCAGAATTTATAGTAAACGGCTTAAAGCTGCAGTGTGTCAATGTGAGATTTTTTTTATTTTATTTTACGTTTGTTGATAACTGATCTATGGAACTATAATCTGTGACAAATTGAGCTCTTTTGCCGTCTCCCAGTGCTAATTGTAATTGTGTTTCAGTATAGAACAAAGACACTCATTCAGATAACTACATCAGGTAGAAATCACTATTGACCCTTTGCAACTACGTCACTAAATCATTGGAGGCGCCATGATGGACGTTGGAAATGAGGGAAGGTAGAGACTGAAATTATTTTCTAACGTTGTTTTTTCCAGTTTATTCATGGTTTCTACTTGTTCGAGTTCAGCTAATTTGTCTGGGAACGTAACACACCTGGTTGGGGCTCACAGTCGGCGGTATTTACAAAAGTTGGAAACAGCTAGCTTAGAAACCGACCCGTACCTCTTCCCCCCTCTTGACGTCTTGATTAAATTATTGACTTTGCCTGAATTCACACCACATGATTTATGTATCCATGTCATAAACAGCGTTTCCTCTTAAACCGGAGCGGCATTAAAAACGTACAGAAGATGAGATGCTAACCAGTTTTTTTCCATACATGCTAGGCTACATGACAGAACGGCACTGTCTCCATGGTTACTAATGGTTAGACGCACCTTCTCCATATATTTAATATCTTTCTAATCATACTTATAAAGTAAATGAATGATAGTTTTCTTACCTTGCTGCTAATCCGCAATTACACTGAGGGCTGACAGTGATTATGATTGACGGCTGCTATTCATCACCCCCGTATCTTTCCTCATTAAAAGTTAAAAAATAAATAAATAAAATGACAAGCTTGGTTTCTATCCTTGTCTGTTTGTGCAGACAACCGCGCAGCAACCTATAACCATTTTTAAAGTCAAATCAACTGAATAGAAGCTATATTAGGCTACAAACAGATGTGTTTTTTGACTAGCTTTAAAGGAGAGCATTGGTTGTTTTGACGTCCGTCACAACAGAGTGGGCGGAGTTCTGAGAGCGTGACGTCACGTGCAAAGGGCCAATAGCATCAATTGTCTTTAGACAAACCAGACCGCTACAGATTCTTTTTAGCATAAACTTCAGTTGGAACTCACAGAAGCATTTTATAGAAGCATAAATGGGTGTTACACTACAAAATTGACGCAACTACTCCTCAAATATTGCAGCAATAACCCTGTTGCTGTACTGGTGAATTCACCCACCTCCACAGGCAAAACACTTGAAGTTACATTCATTCATCAATTATTTGGCCACTTGGGGGCGCTTAAATACTAAATAAAGATGATTGAACTGTAATGGTAAGATGATCATTGCTAACTAAAGAAGAAAAATATATTAATTAAGTTTAATTTCTTCATAGAGCATGTTTGTAGATGCATCATGTGACATCAGCTACAGCTTTTCCTCAGACTATAAAACCTGTGCACTGTTTGAGTGTTTGACATTCCTAATCAGGTTAATCACAAACATTAGCTACTGATGTGATTTACAGCAACCTATACACTTTTTAATGTAATACAGTAGAGCTGATGTTATTACTTAAAGGCAAAAATCACATTACAGTATGCTGATATTGCTGTTGTGGCTGGTCATAATGTAATGAGCGGGAATAATGTGATTACCAACATCATTTCTGGCTTGGCTTGCAGACAAACAGTGACTCAGGTGGTCATTCTGCACTGAAGACCCCCTGCTGTCAAGGTGATTTTAACACTCAGTGTCGGGAACATAATCCAATTTAGTAATAGCACCTGCAGGGTGTACTCACTTTCTCTGTCATGCGTCTCACTTTCAGCGTCTCTCTGGGTTTTGTACACGGCCACAAATGGAATATCCGGACCTGGAAGCACAAATTAAAAGAGTTACAGCCTCAGAATTTCTGAATTTTGCCCGACAGAGTCCTGCAAAAAGCATCAACACCCCCTGAATTTTTCTAATTTGAATCAGCCACATATGCCAATGTATTTTATGACAAACTGGGGCTGCGATAAAGTTTCAACAGTTAACTCAATTAAATAAACTGAGGTCATTTGTTACATGTAATCAAAATGAGTTAATTTAGTTACATTTATTTAACATGAAAACTTAACAAACTTAATATATTTACTTGGATCAACTTCATTTGATTGCTTGTAACAACTCTTTTTTTAAGTTGGATCATCTGGTTTCATTTTTCAGTGTATGGAAAAAATTCTCGATAAAATATTTTTTATTTCTTTCTGAGATGGATTAATTACAAACAAACTCCAGTTTTTTAAAATCAATAACAACAAAAAAAATTCCATCTCAAAACATAATTTCAATGAAAACGATTCAATCTGCTGATTTGACACAAAACAAATAACCTGGAGTTTATGATTTAATAAACTTTTTGAAGCCATAGACCATTTTTTAAGTATTTAAATAAGGATAGCCAAAGCATGGTAATTGCATAACTCCAAACTATTATTTGGTAAATTGTCATTATGTGCAGCGATTTTACCAAACACTGTAAAACACAAAATCTTACTCAGTATTTTTGTCTAGTTTCTTGTCCAAATATCTTAATCTACTTGAATTAAGACAAAACTAACTCACAAGTAACTTTTCAGCAAAATGTAGGAGCTTTTTTAAATAATTAATTCCTTAATATTGATTAAAAAGATCTAGGTATAAGTTAAATAATCTGCCAGTGGAACTAGTACTTCTTTAAAAATAAATCTATATAAAAGTAAGAAAAAGGGGAATGTAGCATAAAACACTTTAATATTTGTGATTGACAACATAAAATGTGAAACATTTCAAGGGTTATAGGCTTTTGCTGGCCCCTGTAGATAATGGAAACAATAAGAGAAGAATCTATGCCAGGATTTCTCTGCTCCAGACAAATCTTTGCTTATTTGATTTATTTAGTGCAGTAGCTGGAGCAGCTTTTCTGTATCTGGGCCACAAACAGAAACAAAGCCCTGAAACTGCAGACGCAGAGGGAGGAGCAGCAAACCGAGTGATCGATGCACTTAGCAGATTGAGAACACAGAAACATTGGGGCAGCATCCGCTGTAAATCATCTTTTCATGCCTTCCTCTCATGATGATGATATCAAAACCTCCCCAAATGTGATCACAGGCAGGCTGGGAGGAAGTGAAGTGGATTAAAAATCCATGAAGTACAAGCTCAGACTGCAGAGCAGGTCAGCAGAGCGGGCTTTGATGTCATTATGGTCATTTTGTGTCTGCTCTTAAATTCAGATTCAGAGCTGATTGTCACTAAAGCGCTGCGTGGGTGATTAAATATTGAAGCTACTGTCTTCAAACCTTTTTCCCTACGACAAAGGCACTTCGACATCCAGACATTTCTCTGATCTCTGGATGGTTTTTTTATCTTTGGGCATGTTCATGTCTGACACAGCAGAAGGAGATCAAAGATTTCCACATCATCATCCTCTGCTGCTGCCGCCTCGTCATGAACGGTTTAAAGAAGTTGGACGTCTCAGAACTTTCACCAGTGGTGGAGAAAGTACTCAAAA